ATCTAAACATAATAATTTTTATAACTGTGTTTTCCACTACAATTCTTCATGTAATTTTTAATTTCTAATATTATAAGTTCTGTTTCATTTTATTGCTTCATTTTTAAATATATTTTTTTTAATATGTTGAAATAAATGTTTTTAAAAAATCTATGTATTTTCACTTGTATTTTCATGTTTTTTATTCGGGAAATATTCTACCGAATTGCACTCATGCATCAAAATTAACCTGATAATTTTTATCTTCTCTCTTTCCTTCGGAGTCGGGCTCTTATGGCAAAATATGAATATAAACTCATGCAGTTTTTAAACAACATGCTTTCATGAAAAATTATCGGTAATTTTGATGCACTTGGGTAATTACTTCCGATAACTAACGTTTTCTTTTTTCATTTTCTTGCGCACACTGTATACAGGGTGGTCCGAACAGTATTCCGGAAACTTCGGCAGCATATTCTGCAGATAAAAATAAGTAAAAAAGTTCGTATAAATGTATGTCCTAAAATGCTCAGTTTTGGAGATACAGGGTGTGGAAGTTGCATTTTTATTTTGATTTTTTCCAAATAATTTCTGAAAGAACGTCAATATTTGGATAAAAATTGGTGTCTGGGAGTTTTTTGACATGAGAAATTTGATTTTGATGTCAATATGACTCTAATTTGTAGGGGGCGCCACCTCCATGTGTTTTAACTGTTTTGAAGAGTAATAACTTTTCGTCCGTACCTGTATAAAACTACTGAGTAAATTATACATCTCCGTTACTTTTTACGTAAAACATGTCTTTTGCTAAAAATCGCTACGGACAACCGTTCTCAAGATATTTAGAATGGAAATATTCAATACATGTCATTATTGACAAAAAATAAACACTCTGAGGATAGTAATTTGACTGAAAAAATAAATTTGACAAATTTTTATATTTTTAAATTAATCATAAATTTTTCTGCGAAAAAATGATGATAAAACAGTTTCTCTTGAACTTTTGACACAAACACATTTCAAATTTATGATTTCAGTCTAATAAATATTTAGTCAACATAATTTATGTCGATTTAATGATGACAGGTATTGATAATTTCGATTCCAAATATCTCGAGAACCATTTCTCGTAACGATTTTTACCAAGAGACCTTTTCTACGTACAAAAACGTCAAAATTGTATTAAAAGAAAATACATTTTTTACGTAAAAAGTAACAGAAATGTATATTTTTTCACTCAGTAGTCTTATACAGGTGCGGACGAAAAGTTATTACTCTTTAAACCAGTTAAAAAATATGTAGGTGGCGTCCTTTAGAAGTAGGTGTCATATTGACATCAAAATCAAATTTCTCATGTGAAAAAACTCCCAGACACCAATTTTCACCCAAATATTGATGTTACTTCAGAAATTACTTGGAAAAAATCGAAATAAAAATTGTTGGGATTCTTTAAATAAAATTCACTTACTGTGGGAAGTGAAAAATAACTTTTATTCATTTAATAAAAAATAATAAGGACCCAGTTGCTAATACATCGAGATACAGTCTTAAAACTAAATTGTAAAATAATCATTCTTTAGATTATTGGTTTTATAAACAGTAAAGGCGACATTCGGAGAATGCTGACGTGTTAAAAGATATAGAGTTTAATACAGTTGGGTTTCCTTTCTATATTTTTGATATTTTAACAAAAATGAAACTTCTACACCCTGTATCTCTGAAACTAAGCATTTTCGGACATAGATTTTTACGAACTTTTTTAATTATTTTAATGTGCAGAATATGCTGCCAAAGTTTCCGGAATACAGTTCGAACCACCCTGTATTGTATCCTGAAAATGTTATAACATTATGTTTAGTTTATTTAACGCTTCGTTTATTTTTACAGAGTAACCGCACAAAAAACCATCCGCCATGGACGCCATCAAGAAGAAGATGCAGGCGATGAAGCTCGAGAAGGACAACGCTTTGGACCGCGCTGCCTTCAACGAGCAACAAGCCAAAGACGCCAACCTCCGCGCTGAAAAGGTAAACATTAACTTTTTATTGCCCCCTGTACACTAACAAGTTAATGACACGATTACCAGTAGCGTTACTACAGAGGAGATATTATAAATAGAGCAGATAGAATAATCTTTTAAATAAGTCAAATTTTACCAGCTTGCAACCAACAATTTGCAATAATAATATCACGAGGTGGCTTTGGTGACTAATGTCGTAAAGTCATATCGACTGACTGATTAGAACCCTACCGGGTGCGTCTCAAAAGTGGCTCACCCCTATAACTTTTATATTTTTTCAGATAAAAAACTAGATTTGGTATGTTAGTATATGACAAATTGGGATTGATTGAGGTATTCAGTTGTTTTTAGTCACTTTCTGTTTCACCGGTTATGACTACAACTTTTGATTTTTAAATGGCACCCCCTGTATTTTTTTTTACTTTATTCGATAGAAAATGACATTCTGAGTAGAATGACATATCATATGTCAATTTTAATATTTTTGTTTTAAAAAAAATAATTTAAATCTGCATAGAATGTAATATCACATGTCAACTTTTGACATTTTCGCATATGGTTTATTTAAAATTGTAACATGCAGATCATAACGACAATTTGACTTGAAATACCAAGTGTGTGGTATCAAAGTATTCGTAAAGAAAAAAGAAATTCTTTTTCCAAATATGCTAATGAACCACCCTCCTTCCATTTGAATAAATTGAGACATGATTAAAAGGCTCCTTGATTAAAAACTAGTGTTTTTAACACTGCCATGACACTCTAGATTGAAATTTAAAATACGATTTTTTAAAGCAAAAATGTCAAAAGTTGACATATGGATATGTCATTCTAATCAGAGTGTCATTTTCTATTGAATAATGTAAAAAAATACCGAAAGTGCCTTTTAAAAATAAAAAGTTGTAGTCATTTCCGGTGAAACAGGAAGTGACCGAAAAGAATTGCGTATGTCAATCAATCTAACTTATACTAACATACCAAATTTCGTTGTTTTATCTTAAAAAATAAAAAAGTTATTGGGGTACCGTGAGCCACTTTTGAGACATACCCGGTATACATTTTGCTAAAAAATCAAGAAAATAAGGCTAAAAATATAATATTTTAAACTGGACCAAAAATTTTTCAATCGGTTAAAGCGAGAAATTTTTTGCACAGAATATAAACACTACCTAATTCTACACACGCTTGTTTATGAAATAATTCTGCAGAACATATCCTACAGAATGTTTGTTCTTTTTCCAGGCTGAAGAAGAAGCCCGTTCCTTACAAAAGAAGATCCAGACCATTGAAAATGACCTCGACCAGACCCAAGAACAACTTACCCAAGTTATGGGCAAATTGGAAGAAAAAGAAAAAGCCCTCCAAAATGTAAGTAATTATTTTTTGTTTTGCTATCGCTTTCCTGTTTAAAATATTCTAATAAAGTTGCGATGAATTTGTACGGCTATTAAGCTATCTTGTACATTTCGCGCTAAAAGAGGTTCTAAAAAGAACAATGTTCGACTGCAAGGTCATTAGTAAACATTTTTAAAAGTCTCAAAACGAATGACAATGTCAGGAAATAAATAAATAAATGCCGCAACTTGACATTTTTTACAGCAGAACTACCACCTGAATCCCCAGCGTGAAATTTAAATTCCAGTTAGTCAGCTCTGCGCCGAATATGTCCATGGTTGGCAACAATGAATTTAAAAATCGCGCCCTCGATTACGTAACTAAAAGTTTAATTGATACAGAGAATTGATATCAAATATAGATGTCTGTGTCTTAAAGTCCAAATAATTAGGTACCTAAACCACAGACAGCTCTATTAAATTAGTTTATGCCTAAACATTTGCCATTTTTTATTAAAATAAAATGTCCATACGTTTTTTCATCAAAATATACCCAAATTCTTTGTTATAGTTTGTCCAGCGCTAAATATGATTTCGCCAGACGGCAAAAAAATCACTATATATTTGCATAAAAATGATAGACAGCTGTCACTGCCATATATCTTCTCTCGTTGAACAGATTGAGATTACAACTATGGCTTTGTTTTTTTTAGCCTCCATAGATTATACTAAAATTTTGAATGCTGTGATAGCTAAATTAATTTTTATCCAGAATGAAAATCTAGAAAAATTAAACTGTTATTAATATAAAATATGGTAAATGGAATCGGTAAAAATATTTCTATTCTAAGAATATTTCTTCGAAAATTCCATCTATAAATGTATATTATCGAAACATAAATAGTTTTCGCCATTTTGGCACGCGTTCCCCAAACAGATCTTATTTCATAAATAATTACTTTTAAGTATATTAACCGGATGAAAATTCAAGGTTAATAGCACCTATTCATTACAAGGTTAAAAAATTACAGAAATAATTCGTTTTCGCTATGGAATTCTTCCAAAACCAAAACGAAAAGACGCCCCAAACCGCAGAACAGCATAACGAGTGCAATGACATAATCCGATATTTTCTCTTTCTTTGCAAGAAAACGAGTTTTATACACTAGTTAGTACTTTAAAGTATCCTGTTCGAGTTCCACGGTTACCGGCTAAAAATAATCCTCGCATTCTGTGCGCGTTGCCATATTTGGCGCGCTCAGCTCCCAGCCCAGGTTCCCGTGACATCACCGTTGCGACCGAGTAGTCCGACACGTCAAAAATTGAAATCGCTTCGAAACTGGGTCACACCAAACGAAATTCCACGCCGACGGCGACAGTGTTACATATAGGCAACCAGACATACAGCGGTGTTTAACAAAACGTATACGTTACCAAGGCGTTGTCAATTCTTGACCTGATTTTAAATTAATAAAATCTTTGCGTAAATAATTAAATTCATACAGTAAAATAGTTTACACTGATACCATGCTTAAACAAAATGTGTATTTTTATTTTTCGTATTTTTTATGTCCTTGTTACATTATTATAAAAGTTTATTTTTATAATATGAGTACTGGCAACGGCGCTCTAAGAACTTTGACATTTTACCACGAGGCGGAGCTACAGCTGTCAGTCAGGCCATCATGGCCGTCATGTGAAGTGTGTGTTAATTTCGTGTTAAAAAAGTTATGTCAACAACTCGCACCCCGGGTCCCCCAAAGAAAAGGGGACACCAGCACCACCCCCGTAATGAAGGCAATCGACGTAAGCCCATCTTAGAGCCAGTAGTAGGGCCACCGCTCAGTGTTTACAGTGGTGACAATGTGTTGACAAATAAAGGGGTTGCACCAACCAAAACATTACCACAAAAAGTTGTTGTTCAAGATCAGAAAATAAATGTAGGGGGTGGAAAAGATAAACAAGCAAATTGTGATATTCCAGTGATAGATTTAACCCTTTGTGATGACGAAATAGTAGAAAATAAGGTCGAAAAAGTAGTCGTAGAATCTAGTAATAGTGGCAGCAATGTATCTGTTAGTAAATCAGTAAAGAATGACCATAATCAGCGAATTAAAAAGTCTAGAAGATCGAGGAACCATCATAATCAAACTTACAAAACCTCGCAAATTATTAAGGCCCCCAGTAAAAGTTCTTTGTTTAACAATGATGACATGTCTTTGGTGGAGCGTCCAGAAGCTGAAGGTTCCAGTCTTAGCGACCAGGAAATAGAAAAGACTGATTATGATCCAGAAATAGAGGAATTATCCAAGCTTCGCTGTACGTCCGAGAGGACTGAAGTGATAGCTGAAAAAGAAATGAGAAGAAGGGGCCGTCGATGTGCAGATTATCCTGGTCTGGCATTTAGTTCAACATTCAGTTCCGATACCTTGATGAAGTTCAGCATAATCAGAAATGAAATTCAAAATATTATGAATACACAACTGAAAAGGGTAGGTACCTACTTAAAAATAAAAATGAAAATTGTTTTCACAAATAAAATTATTAATTATTCTTCAAGATCATCATATTAATATGTACTCAACTGGTCTGTAATTCTGTCTCAAGGTTTATTTAAATTGTTTTGGATACTTTTATTGGGATTATTAATTTATTCCTGCTCAAGATTTTAAAGGCGTAAAAAGGTAACATTGTTTTTGGTAGCACAACAATTTGATGCGTCATGCTGAAATACATTAAAAAGTTAACCGCGTTCTATTAAAAGCTCTTGTTTACAGCACATGTTTAAATATAGTTCAAATGGATGTTGGAGTTCTCGTTTGACTGTACATTTATTTTCCATTGATGGTTGTTTTAGAAAACAAACCAAAAATCGTTAGGTTTCAGGTGATTTATCTTACATCTTACGATAAATAAATGACCGACTTCTCAAACAGATGTTTATAATTATTATTCCAAATGTTTACATTAATCCCAGCATAATACATCAATAACATAGTCTGGAATGCAGTTGTTTGTTCATGTATTGGTATTCTAAAGGGTCAAAGTTATCAATGAGACTTAATAGTTCTTTAATCCAAAGTAACAGCTGATTAACATCATGCTATTTACGCGTGAAATATTCATCTCATTTGTTGACTTTTGAAATACTTCATAGCTGATAAAACTATACCACAGTTACCTAGTTACAGAGCAAGTCAGTGTTTAAACTTTTCAAATTTTCAAGAGGAAACTTTTAATTTATTTTAATTAACACTTTACTTTTATAAAATTTATCTAATTATTTAGCCGGCATTTTCACTAGAATATCATGTGAAACATGATTATTGTGGCGTACAATGAAGAAAAAATTAAAATTAATAGAAATTTTCCATTAGAGCATGAAACCTACTAGATGATGGCGCAGAATTACAGCTGCTACATTTTTTAACAATTATTGTTTCTGGTCTAGGTATTTCCAATAGTCATCTTATGCAACAAATAAAAATAAGGAGTGTTCGTTTATTAAAGAATTTGACCTCAATAATTAAAAATGTGCATACAATACTTATATGCATTCGTTTTTTACAGTCGCTGTTTCAGCTAGTTATTGGTTATACTTACTTATTGCCTAACTACACAAACTTTAAAAAGTTTTTGGAAATGTATTAATACTTCAAACTTAAATATCATCATAATATTTGAAAGTCTAAACTAATTAGTACGCTTGCTGGTGGTCACTGTAAAAACAATAGAATAATTGTTTTATTAAATTATTTAAATATGCAAATGAAGAACTTGACACCAGTAGGTAATGTTTAAAAAACAAGGACTATACCATTGCCAAATGACACGCCCTAGCAATAATTTTCTATATTTTTAGCCGACCATACCAACAGGTATGGGAGGCTATTAAAATAGACAAAAAAAAGTTTTTTTAATTTCACTCAAAATGAGTTATTTGGGTCATAAATGACCTAAATACAAAATATTTTCATGGTGTCTGTCTGTCTGTCCGTCTGTCCGTCTGTAACACGATAACTCAAAAACAGCTAAACCGATTTTAACCAAATTTGGCACAAAAATACTGTGGCACCCGAGAATCTGGCCATTAGTTTTTGGTGGGGGTGGGGGGTTGGTAAGGGGGTATGGGAGGGGGTTAAAAATTTAAAAAAATCGTAACTCCAAAATTACAGTAGCTAGCGAAACGCGGTTTTCAATTTAAGATTAGGAATAATATTTGCAACAAAATTTGTAATAACATCAAAATCAGTCAAAGTCGTAGTTTTTGGGATAAAAAAATGGAACAATTCCTTTACTTTGAAACTAAAAGAACTGCTTACTAACTTTTTATTAACATATTTTAGTATGGGCGGCTATACGTGCCTCCCGGCGCCATTTTTTAATCTCTCAATTCCATGACAGCTACCAGCTACGGCCAATATTATATGACATTCAAACAATTAAATTTTTTAAATAGATAGTGGCTGTGGTATTCACTAAATTTTACGTTTAGACTCTACAAATATTTTTGACAGACAGTTTTTTCCTCAAAAGATTTTAAATATTTTTTTTCAAAAACGGTGAATGTTAGGTATGGAGTGTTTGATATCAAAATTCATAAAATTTTACAGAGGATTTAAGTATGTAATAAAACATGGGGGTCCCCATTCATAATAAGAAAGTTGCTGTCAGCTTGTGCCGCCATATTGAACATATTTTTGAAATGGTGTGCAGAAAATCTCCGATCTAGATCTTGTAGTTCTGTAGAGACTTCTAATGCACGCTCAGCCTGTGACACCCTGTATACACCCCAGAAATAAAAAAATAGAAATAGTTTATATTCTTCTGTTATGTTTCTGCTTTTACTGGTTCATGTTTTACAGTTTCGAATATTTTTCTAAGTATTTATTTATTCTTGGAAAGGAATTGTGAAGTACATATAATGCATCGGTTCTCATACATTAGGTGTCTTAGGTACCGTTGGAAACTGGTAGCAAAATGTAAATTATTCTGTAATAAACAACAGGTAGTAAACTGGGGACAACAATAAACATGCCACAATACATCGTGATTCAGCTTAGAATATAATATTAGCTGTCACTGCGTGGTGGGAAAGATATAATACTAATAATAATAATTCTTTATTGGTGTTAACCAGGGTTGGCATGATTTAAATCAAATGAAACCAAACTAACCTAACCATACCCTATAAAATGTTACATTTGTATATTGATATATTGGTATATTGATCAAGATAACTTCTGCCTTGAACAATATCTTCTATAGTCTATAAAATGAATAACTTTGAATTTTGACCGTTATTTTTTACCAACATGGCAAATATCAAATCCCTCTATCCAAAAAGTTACTGATATTCTTTAAAATGAGTGCCTGAACGAATCAGATAGGTAACTCTTTTTACTTTCATGAAATAGAAAAGGAAAATAATAAAACAAGTGACAGTTCTTCCTCTTGCAAAAATCGACGCGAAATGTCATAATTGACAAAAGTAAAATGTCATCAGCTTTTGACATTTCTAAATATCAGCCCAATGCCGTCTCTAATAGACAGCCTCGGAACGAGATTTATGACGTCACGCTAGTTAGATACCACGGATTAATAAATATGTTGTAGAATCCATGGAAAACATAATTATTCCTCGTATTTTTGGTTTGTATTTTAAAAATGATATAGTTTACATGAAATATACATAATATACAGTTAATAAATACAATATATATATATACCTATTTATAGTAATAAATACTTTGGCAAATAAACTATGAACCATACAAATGCAGTAAATGTTTTACAATATACAAATAATGAATAGGTACATAAGATAATGGGTAAAATGTAAAATATATTTTAAATTTTGGGATTTGAAAATCGATCCAATTTAACAAAAAACATTCAATATCTACTAATAGTGATATATTATTATTTGCATTCACAAAATTTATATGTATATTTTGAAAGCATCAATGTTTGAAAAATTTATATTTGCAAATAATACAATATCATAGAAAAAAAGGCGTCAGCGATGGCTATGAAATAAAGATCGCTGTCATTTTATATGTAAAATTATTCTAAAATTTTTGATTTTCTTGGGATTTAGGTTCGGGAAAAACGCTGATTAAGTTTTCATATTTTTTTTTGGTTTAAAAAAAACGTTATAGCTAACGTTTATAGCCTTCATCAGTGTTGTGTCATATGATTATTTATTTTATTAGTCATATAATCCATAAAATTACATATACGAGGAATAATTATGTTTTCCATGTATTCTACAACATATTTATTAGTCCGTAGTATCCAACTAGAGTGACGTCATAAAATTCGTGGCTGTTCTATTAGAGACGGCATTGCATCAGCATGGCCGCAAGTTGCTAACTTAATAAAATTAGCACTAGGAAAGCCCGCGGGAACTGTCAAATTCAAAGTTAATCGTTTCACAGACTATAGTATATCAAATTCTATAGAATATCAAATCTTCTAGTTCTTTCAAATTTCTATCGACATTTCGTCTTGCAGTAAAGATTTTACACTTTGGCAATAGATAATACTAATTTCATTCTCGACTTAAGACTATTTCCGAACAGTAGTGTATTGTGTAAGGAGTAAAAATTATACTTTTTTTGACGTGGCTGTACGTTTGACGGACTAGCCTAAACAGGGAGGTACACACGTACATTTTTACTCCGATTTTACAAATAATTTTTTAATCAATGTCAAACGTTGCAAATAATATAAGAAGTAATACTTTGTAAGTAATCTAATAACAATTTGTACACTCCTCGTTGAAATTGACGCCTAATATCAGTTTAATAATATATTTTGTACTTTTATGTTTAGGCGTAAAAGTGCTTTACTTTTATGCCTAGGTGTTGAAATGACAAAAATTAATACTCTTGTGACATTTGAAAAAAAATCCTTTTGATCTGAAGCGAGCGACTTTTTTGGGGGAATATATTGGTGACCGATGTGGGAAAATGACACGCGCCGTAGAACTGTTAATGTATCGGGTAGAGTTATGAATATTTAGCCATTTAGGATCGGACTTTAATTGGAATTAAGTCCTAATTATTTGAAAATCGAGTTTAAATAATGTTTTCGATTAAAATAAAAAAAATGTGATTTAAATCAAAAAAATCTTATTTTTTTGATTTTTAAAAAAAATCATGATTTTTTTCAACCCTGGTTTTAACACAATGTTTATACAGGTCACTAGATAATAATAATAATCAAATTAAACAATAACTAAAATAGCCCTGACAATCAGTAGTAATTAAAATAAAACACATTTAAATATAAAAAACCCAACCACTTCCAATAATTGGAAATGGTTAAATGGTTAAAATACACCATAATTATTATGGTGTATTCAGAGAGCCTCCCTCGCATATTTAGATACTCTCTTTCTCGTAGTTGGGTTGGTATTATAAGGGTGAGCATTAGTCCCTTTTTCGAATAATTTGGTATTTCGAGTCAAATTATCGTTATGAACCGC